CCCCAAAACCCCAAAACCCCAAAACCCCGCAACTCAAAAATGGATTTATCTACTGTAAAATAAAGAGTTAAATCAATAGGAATATAATTCGGTTATTGCTTAGTTAGGTGTACAATATATAGTATTTTCAAAGAATAAAATAATGATGCGATGAGTCTATATTATTAGATTCCCTAATCAGCATCAGTATAATTTACTTCTATAGCGGTCATAAGCTATCACTTTATTTTTTTAGACATTTCCTTAACCATTTCTTATTCAGCTATCATAGCAGACTCATCTAAATCTTACCTAAATATCATTTTCTCATCTTCATCAGATGATATTTATAGGGTTTCTTAATAAACTTATTGTGGTCTTGCGAATGGTTAACGATAAAACAGTTTCTTCGTACGGTCCTGCTATTTATTTGCTGACTTAAAATATGGCTATTTCTCTTATGTTTATAGTTTTTCATCGAAAGCATTTATGTCAACACTTGAATCATCTTTGCCAATACTCATTTATAAGTTCTATTTGTTGGATGAATTTTATTGTTAAACTTAAAGTAACTATTAGTTTTTCTAGGTAATTATCTAATGCTATTAAAATCTGTCTACTTTCTAACTCATAATGCAATCTGTAGACTTGTCATTCAAATGAGAATTGTTTAAAATTGATATGTCGTTCTTTTTAAAGGGTGATGGCTAGAAATATTTTGGCTAACTTCGGCTAACAATTGATATATCATTGTTGTTTCCTTTTTCTGATCTCTAGCTCATGATTTCTTTTAGCATACTAAGATCTTCTGATTCATTCTCATAATAATTAACGACAGGCTTATTTTGGAATTCAGGGGTCTTACTAGGATTATTAAGGATATCAGAGAGATCAGGATTGATCATTAAACTTCTATCATTATTATTATTTTTGTTATTTGACCTATTATTGAATTTGGACATATTGGTGATTTCTATTTTAAGATCATTGGCAGACTCATCCATCAAATCTAATGCTTAATTGGTGTCTGTGTGATTGTAATTATTGCTTTGCTGATTTGCACTTATAGCAGAAATACCTACATCCTTGTCCTCAAATTTATGTTAATCACTTTAGTTATTGATTGCATTTTCATTTTCTTCTGGCTCAAGTTGTCTTAATTCTAGTTTTATGTCACTGTTATCTATAATCTACTGCTACTCCTTTGCTACTTCATCTTCTTTTTCCTATGTTAGTTATTGCTTTGATGGTATTTGATGCAAATCAACTGAAATATCTTAGATATTTGGTATTACTTTTAATTTTCTTTTCGCAACATCTTCAAAAAAATATAGTATAGCTGTTTCACCCTTCGGCTTTTTGGTAATCTGTTTGCTCAATCCAATCTTTTAGACTATAGCTTATGAATTTTATAAAAACTTTCTGTTTTAAAGGACAATTTTCATTGTTTTCCCTTCTTTTTCAATGTCAAAAAAATCGCATTCCTTATCAAATATTTCCCCTTTAAGTGACTTTAGTCTGGCAGCTCTTACTTTGCGATATACAAAGAAACCAACCACAGGAATCATAAAACCAATAACTATCAGTACTATGCCTACTTCGATTTACATTTTTATTAATTTATATTTCCACGAAAATTAATCGGAAAATTTAATGTGCTTCTAACTTATGAAAAAATCTATAGCTAGGGGGTTTTGGGGTTTTGGGGTTTTGGGGTTTTGGGGTTTTGGGGTTTTGGG